CCTGCTTTAGTGTCCCAGAGTGCTAGAATTATGGACATCACTCACTCTGCCCAGTTTAGGAAAAAACCTCTGCACATTTTTATTTTTTTCTATTTTATTAGTACTTGTTTGCAATACATGAAGTTTACATTCACCTTAGAGGCCAGGTATGTATACATAATACAACATGATTCTTTTTAAAAACCCTTTCCCAACGATTTCCCTTTCTTTCCTCAATCCCTTTGCCCCATAAATCTTTGGGAGACAGTCAGGCACAGTGGCAAATGCTTGTAATCCTCAGCTGTTTGGGAGGCTAGAGAAGTAGGACCATGAGTTTGAGACCAGCTTGGAAAACAGAGATCTTGTCTCAAAAAACAACTCTGCAAGACATTGGGACTTGGGTGATTTACTATGACAAAAAGAGAAGGAAAAGGAATTATTTTCAGAAAAAGTTCTCCAGAAAGTCCAATGCAACTTTGGCATGGGCTAGAAACCTGAATTATAGGTCAATGAGAGCAAACAGCACTTTGTGTATGGACTCATGAGTCTTGGGCATGTGAGGAGCTTCAATGTGGAGATGCTTACAAGAGGGCCATGATGGGATGAGAAAAGTTGGTATGAGTCATGGAAGCTGAGAGGTCAGTGAGCCTACAAGAGACACTTTTATGCCACCTTCTCAAGTAGCTGGGAAGGACTTGGAAGAAAGGCTCATAATTCACCCGAATAGGCAGCCTGTTAGACTTGGTGTGTGTCAGCTATCATAACCCTGTCTCACTACCCACGTGATGTAGCCTGGAAAATATGAATTAAAATCCTACATTTTTTTAGGCCTCTGAATATTGTTATTGCTCATGTATTGAATAGATAACAAACAGTAAGGAAATGCTCAGACAAGATTTGTTTTTTATCAATTTTGAAAAAATTGTAGATTCATGTGAAGTTTTAAAAAATAGCACAAAGAGGTCCTGTGTACCCTCTGGTCACTTTCCTCCAACAACACTTTCCTAGTAATAACTACAATATACTATCAAAACCAGGACAATAACATGGGTGGTCACAAGTCTGAGGAGTTCCTCCAAAGAGGAGATAAGGCCCTCAACTCATCTGCCAAGTAGGTTTCTAATTTTTTAAAATCTTGAGACAGGCTCTCCCCAAATCACTAAATTAACCGCCCCCTCCAATTTGCCATCCTCCTGACTCAGCCTCCCCAAGGGCTGGGATTATAGGAGTACACTACCACACCTGGCTCAAATAGGCACTTGACTTTTATCACAGAAAAACAATTTTAAGATGTATCAGTGAGAGGCATACTTATATTATACTAGGAAGAGTTAAAGAAGTACACATTCAGAGACAATGGAATGTGAGCCCTCAAGAAAGAGCTGCATTATGAGCTGAGATTGAGGGTTTATATGTGTTCTTGGAGGTATCCCTTAAGATATGTGATACAGATATTTTGCCTGAAAACATTCTTTGAACATTTTGAATCTGTTTCTTCATTCTAAAGTCGAATTTCTGCTGTTTACTTTATCAGGTAGGTTAATTTATGGGTTTTGAGTGTGATGAGGCTGGAAGAAAAAAGCTTTGAGAGCACAAACATGCCTAAAGTAGATATGAAGTACAGATATGGATAACATTGGGTAACTCTGTGTCCTGCAGTTGCAGTTTTCTTAAAAGTACAATTTTAAAATTAGGACTTTCCTCATTTTCTTTCCATCCATTTATTTCTTCTACCCTCAGTGCAACCCATGAATCTTCAGATCTTGCCATTTTACATGCACTTTGTCTAAAGATTCATGCAATTTTATCATGTACAGATTTGCATAATCAGCCTCATAGTTGTTAGATTCAGAATGGTTTTATTACAAACATCTCCCTTGACGTGCTAGTCCTTTATAAATGCAGCCATTCACGTCCCCTACACTCCTTCCCACCCTGTTCTTAATCTCTTGCAACCACTCACCTTTTCCCCTTCTTTATAATTTTGTCAAATTGAGGACGTTATGGAATTATACAGCATGTAACCTTTTTATATTGCCCCCCCCCCCCGACTTTAGAGGTTTCTATCTTAGGGAACCCATGTTAGTGACTATGATTTTGTATCTGTTGTGGGATAAAATGGTATTAAAATGTTGACATTCTCAGATTCTCCTAGTGGCTGGAGTTATTTTTGATTATGTCTTGGCATGTTGTTATTACTTTGTGTTAAGAAGCCTCACCTGTAAACGTGAATAGGGTAAATGTTGATTAAATATTAACCACTACATACTGGAATAGTTTAAGGCACATGTGCAAAGGTTACATTTTGTTCAAACAGTACTAAATGTGGTGTATCTTTTATCAGATAAAGGTATTTCAGGAAAATTTCTTAGGCAAATCAGGAAAAAAAAACACAAGAAAGATAAAAAATATTAAGTTTATAAACAATTACTTAGAACTTTCTTTTCAAAGTATAAAGCCTCTTTAACATAAAGTAGCCAGTATACCAAACACAAAGTTTACATGCCAAGATCACATGGATAATACCTGACTATCCCAGAAATTCATAAACTTCTGCTGAAGTGACATTAAGCCAACCCTCATCCATATTATTATGCAGGTTATTGGAATAACTAGGCAATTCTAAATTTCAGCCTTGAAGAAACACTGTTTCAATCACAAACTCAAGAGTCAATCCATAAATTCTTTGAATTTAGGGCCTAGAGAACGTATTGTTTTTTTGTTGTAAACTTTTATCTAGGGCTGTACTATAAAGTAGGCCCTGAATGTTTTGTACATTTGTAGTTTTGTTAATTTTATTTATTCAGGTACATTGTCTTTACACTGCAGACATTCGAGGATGACTGTCAGTATGGAAAATGAGTTTCAAACATATTTCATTGTTTTAAAAAAATGATATTTGTTATATTAATTAAGGAATAGGGCTGAGACATAACTTTTTCTTTTTTCTTTCCTTAGTAGGGATTAAACCCAAGGTCTTTGCACTCAGCTATACCCCCAGCCTTCTTCTAATTTTGAATTTTGAGGCAAAGGCTCACTAAATTGCCTAGAATGAGCTTGAACTTGTGACTCTCCTATCTCAGTCTCTCAGAGTGCTGGGACTACAAGTGTGCTTTTTTTTTTTAAAATAAGTAAATTGATATGGTCTATTTTGAATCATTTTGGGAACACAGTGTTTATAAAATCTGAGGAGCCTGTTATACCCTTTGTTCTACAGCTCTACTTCTAGTAATCTATTCCTCATACATAATCAGGTGGTGCACATAGGTGTTCAAATATACATGCTTTCTGCAACACTGTTACACTGAATAGGAATAATGCAAATTTCCACAATTTCGGAAAAGGTGGCATATAAATTGTGAAATATTATGCAGTATTTAAAAGAATAGACTGAAAGAACCATACTGAAAAAATAAAGAAGACAGGTCTAAAAAGGCTGCACACCAAATTGTTAGTGGTTATCATGGTTTGGGAAGAAAAATAAAAACTTTGGAGGGGAACTTTAAAAATGTTTTATTTTAGGGTCTTGGTAAGTTATTAAACTGCCCAGGCTCAAACATTCGATGTGATCTTTCTTCCTCTGCCTTCCAGAGTGAAAAACTTAACATTAATGTTGTTTACATTTTCAACATGAGCATTTATATACTAATTGCACATCTAAAAACAAGAAATTTCATCAACAGAATTATCTCACCTGCAGCAACGAAAAGACTGCATCAGCTACTTATCTTGTTATTTTAAAATTCCATTTGGCAATGAAGGGAGGCAGTGTTTACAAATGTAACTGAAATTTGAACTTAACACCCAAGACATTTTGGAAGGAGGGAGTGAGCTTAGATACATAGTACTACAAAAAGCCCTCACTGAATTAGATACCCTAGCTACTGTATTTGAAAATTGTCTTTGGTTAAAAAAAAAGACACAAACTGACTGAGGAATCCATTCAACCATGAAGACCAGAACCTGATTTTGTTATGTATCTCTACAGTGCCTGGCATACAGTAAATAATAAAGAGTAACAGGAGCCTTTAAGTTAAACGTTTTTAGTAGCACCTACTTAATGAATTAATTTATTGTCTTTTTGAGACAGTTTCATTTTGCAGTTCAAGCTGGCCTCCCACTCACAGGGATCCTCTTACCTCAGCCTCCCAAGTACTGGGACTATAGGCATTAACCACTAGATGTGGCTTGCACCCACTTATTTAAAAGCAGGAAACCAGCAAGGGCAGATAGTTGTAGTTGCAACTTGTTTTTCCAATTGTGGGGTTAAAATTTTTGCGAGCAGGTTACAATTTTCGTTGAGGATAGGCTCTCATGTTGGCGATCTGCGAACTGTAAAACATTTCAACTTCAGCCAACTAGTCTGACTAGAAAAGCGGGGGAAAAAAACCCTGCGTGCTGTCACGTTACACTCTATATATAGATAAATATTTTATATAGAAAATCATAGCTACTTTACATATATAGTAAATATATATATTTTTGCTTACACCAAAGGATTTTGTTGCAAACGTTTCCTGGCTGTGACACAGGATAAATCACTCTACTCGTGTACGTTTATCTGAGAACCGATAATAATCCTTTCCTAGAAGTCGTGTCTCTCTGTACCAGCCAACCCCCGCCCCCGGAAGGATGAGTAAATTATAAACTGCTGGCATACAATGGCCATTACCATATTTATGCAATGAAAGTTTCATGTGAATTCAATCTCAGATCGTTGAGCAGAAAAGCCTTGAGACTCAAACTGAATAAAAACGACAATGTCTCCAGTTCAGGGCAGTCTCTGCCAGCTCTTTCTCTTTCCAACCACACGTATCAGCCTAGTGCGGGGCCCAGCGGTCGAACTCCACTGGAGGGTCCGGTTCGGCGCACGCGAGGGGTCGCCCCCACCACGGCCTTGAATCTGAGTCGCTCGACTGCGGGGCCCAAAGCTCCGGAGACCACTGCCAGCGCCCGACTCCTGCATGCCGCCGACAACGCCGTCCACCCAGGGACCCGGGGCTTCGGCGGGACACTCCTACCTACTCCCCGGAGTCGAGTCCCAAAGCTCTTCCCGCCAGCAGGGGGAAGTGTTGAAGTCTGGCCGCCCCTGGACGCGAAGCCGGAAGGCCCGCGGGGCCGCGAGAGGGCGGGCACCCGAGCGCGAAACACAAGGCGCGCGCTCCCGCGAACGCCGGCGCGAGGGTGGGGGCGCGCACGCGCGCAGAGAGGTGGGCTAGAAGGCGGGGCGCGGCGCAGCCGGCGGGAAGAGGGCGCCTTGGAGCCGAGCCGAGGGTGGGCAGGAGCGCAGGGGCGGGACCCGAGGGAGGGCGTCGACGCTGAGGGGGTGGAGCCAGGCGAGGCGGGGACGCGCTCGCGGGCTGGGAAGGCGGGGGCGCGGTGGTGGCGGGAGCGTGCTCGGTCCCCGCCCCTGTTTCCCACTCTTCCTTCCACCTCCGACCGGCCGGGGCTCCGGAGAGGCGCCGCTCGCCGGTGCCCGAAGCCACCCAGCTGCCGCCGCCTGCTTCCTGCGCTGGCGGCGAGCCCGTCAGTTGTGCTCTTCGATCTGGGCCATGGATGGGTAAGTGCAAGGCGGCCGCAGTGGGCTGCGCCGGCCCCGCTTCCTCTCTGCTCGCGGCCGGACTCGCCGAGGCCGGGGAGCCGTTGGCTTTCGGAGCAGCCCCGGTCGAGCCCGACGGCGGGGCTTCCGGGCGCTTGGTGGGGATCCCCGCATCACGGAGGCGCCGTCGGCTGGAGCCGCTTCTTCCTGCACGCTGCACCCCCGTCATGTCCGCCCCTTCACACCCTCACGGCACACACCGGGAAGCGGAGGGAAGCTCTGTCCGGCCGTTGGCGCAGGGGTCCGCCCTGCGCGCCCGACTCCAGTAGCCGGGCGGTCTCTCGACACTTCCTCTCAGAAAATGGTGCGCGGCGCTGGGGGAGGCGGGGGCGGCGCGCGTGCTCCGGCTTGGGAGGTGCTGTTTACCGGCGGGGTGGGGCGGGCGGCGCGGCGCTCCCCGCGGCCGGGCGAGTGAGTGGCCGCCGCCGAGTGGGGACGCTCATTGCGCGCGGCGCTGCAGGTCTGGGCGGAGACCGGGTCCCGAACTGCGTCCCCGCGCGTCCTCGGGGGACCGTCGAGGTCTCTGGACTGGGGCTAAGAGATGTCTTAGTCCTGCGCACCAGGCTTCTGCACTTGGAGACCGTGAACCTTTCCTTCCTCCGCCTACTCCCACCCCCGAGAAACTTCGTGAATTCTCTGCCGGGCTTATAAAATGTAGTGTAAGTGTAATTTCCCGGGAGGTTTCAGGTACTCAGAAATTAAACGGGGGTCTGTGTCCAAAATAAAAAGATTTAAAATCCTCGCTAGAGCATAAACATTTTTCTGGGCTATGTGAAGGTGAGACTTGATATGTTTTAATGATGAATGCGTTTATGGGGTGGTACTTAATGTATTTTTATGATTAAAGCAGTTATTGAAGAGGCTTGGTGAATTAAGAGGTCTTGTGTTCATGAAGGTCTTTAAAAGTCTACAGTTCTATTAGATATTACAGATCCACTTCTTTATTCCCACTATGCTTTGAGTTTTTATTTGGCCTGCTAGTAGTTTCCATGACAAGATTCTGTAAATCTCCTTTGTGGAATATATAGAAGTTGGTTTAAAAGTAAAAGCCAGTTAATGTGTTGCCACATAGTGGATGATTGTTACAGGGTGTGTGGACACACTGTCTTCCAACAGTTTTTGCCTTCACTGCATTTATTTTCGTTTCACAATATTAAGTATAAGTGAATTAACACATTTGACTGCAGATTGCAGAGGTACAGACATCAAAGAACAGTTTTAGGTTTTGTTTATGGTTGTGGTTCTTAAAGTACTTTGTAAAAAGCTGTTTTTTGTTGACTTGAAGCTCCTCTGGGAGCATTGTTGAAGACTTAATTCACATTACCTTATTCAGTTATAGTTGGTATGTGTGCACGGTTTTGCTATTTTAATGATTTATGTTATGCCATTATTTAAGTTCAGGAAGTCTGTGAAGTTAGTACAGTATTTCAGTGTATTTAGTGACTTGTGTTTAGGAAGTTGGATTTTAGGTATGGAAGCAGACTAGCTTTTTGTGTCAAAATTTGTGCTTACAATCAAGGGAACGCTTAGGTTTTGTGACTTGGACATCTTTGAAGTGCAAACTTCATTGACGTGTTTAAGAAGTTAACTTTCCCTTTGCCTTATTTGTGTTTTTTAAAGCTAAGATTGAGATAACTGGTTTAAATATGGAGGGTGGTGATATAGGAGCTGGAAGGTAAGTTTTATTTGGGAGTTCAAGTGGGAGCGTGACTTACTCTTTATATCAGGGCCCATAATGATACTGCCTACACATTTTTGTTTTTTACGCAGAAAAGTTTTCTAAAATCATGCTTAAATTTTGGAAACATGAGTTTCAAGATTTAGAATTCTACAAAGGGAAATAAACAATTAAATTTGTCACTTAATCCAGAGTCATATATTTGTCTTTTATGAAATAGTAGAGATTATAAATGTGTAGAATTTTTGTAATTTTCTTTTCGAATATATGGAGAAAAACTTTCGTTTGTGTTGCTACTGGGCATTGAACCCGGAGCCTTCGTACAAATCTACATCCCTAGCCATTTAAAAAATTTTTTTTATTTTGCAACAGAGTCTCTTTAGATTGCTAAATTATCCAGATGAGACTCAAACTTGCAGTCCTCCTGCTTTCACCTCCTGGATTGCTAGAATTACAGGCATGCACCACCATGCCTGGCTAGGATTTTTAAAAATTTTTTCATTTTTTCCTCCAGCCTAACGAAGGACCTTTTCCTTTATTTTGGTTAGAAAAACAAGCCACAGGTCAACATACCAGTATAGTTACTCCTCAAATCCCAACTGTTTTTTGTGGGTGTGACTGTTCATGTTTTTCCTCAGAAGAATAATTTTCTACTTAGTTTTGACATGGTAGAAATTTTTTTTAAGCAAATCTTTTTGAAAAAATTGATGTCTGAAATTTGATGTTTATTTTAGTTTAGGGGAAATGTTTTAACTTCATTTTGGTAAGCAGTTTGGGATGGTAAATTTAGATACGCAAAAGGCTTTGTATTTCTATAAAACCTGAGCACTGGTTTTGTTTCATTTAGAATTTTAGATGTGATCATACCAGTGATTTGAAAGATCAAATGTTGAGGAGGGAGAGGAGAGGAAGGGAAAAAGTGTTAAGGTGCAATGTATCTGTGTACCGTTTTCCCAAGATGAAATTATTTATTATATATTGCAAACATATATTAATAAAAAACGAAATTTAGTGATTTGTCTTGCATTCGTTAAACTGAGGTAAATGAACAATATTTATCTAAAACTTGAAAAACAATTTATTGTTTCTTACATTACTATTGAGGCTTTGCTTTTATACTGCTGTTACTAGACTGTTCCATCATTTTTCTTTGTATTAACATTTCACAGCTACATTTTTGTTTTCATTATTTGTTGTTACAATGCTTTTCTGTTTTTTCTTTGATCTTACTGTCTCTGTCTTTTAAAACTTGTTCTCTAACTTTGTTTTCCATTTCTCTTTTTACTTTTTCCATACAGTGTTGTTACAGATCTTATAGCAGTCGGTATAAAGGTAGGAATCTTTTACTATCCTTTCATAATCATTTTTGTATCTTAGTTTTGTCATTTTTCAGTGGTGAAGACATCTCACCTATTCATAATATGGTCTGTTGCACTATATGGTAGTAATTTTTCATTTTTACTAAATTCTCATGTAAGTATAGGATAGCTAATTTTGAATTTTATGTACTTGAAGGAGGAGCTGTAGTATTATCTCCTACACAGATTGTAAAAAATAAATTGAGCTTGAGATTTGATTTGTACTATCAAGGTGTCTCTTTTTTCCTTTTTGACAAATAAGTATGACATAGGCTATGATTTATCTTTGTACCATGTCCTTTCTTGTTTGTTTTTTACAGTACTGGGGATGAAACCCAGGGGCCTCACATTGAGCTACATCTCTACCCTTTGGAAAAAAAATTTTTTTTTTTTGAGAACAGGTTCTCACCAAGTTGGTAAATTGCCAAGGCTAGCCTTAAACTTGCAGTACTCCTGCCTCAGTCTCCCAGAGTGGTGGAATTACAGGCAAATACCACTGTGTCCAGTATATATTTTTCATATATATATATATATATATATATATATGCATGTATTTTGTATTTCTATAAAACCTATGCACTGGCTTTGTTTCATTTAGAATCCTAGATGTAATCATGCCAGTCAGTAATTTGAAAAATATTGAGGAGGGAGAGGAGATACATAAATGGGAGATATTTATATGAAAAATTGAGCTCAAAATTTGACTTGAACTGTCAGGGTTTTTTGCTTGTTTTTGTTTTTTTTACTGTCGGGGTATTTTAACAGTTAAATGTAATCCTGATTTATCTCTGTATCTTTTTTTATACCTTCTTTTGTGTATATACTTATGAATAATAAAATAATCAGTATTTCCTCAGCTCCTACTATGTGCCATATATATATATATATATATATATATATTTTTTTTTTTTTTTTTTTTTTTGAGACAGGGTCTTGTTATGTAGTTCAGACTAGCTTGAACTTGCTGTGTAGTTCATGCTGGCCTTGACCTTGCAGCAGTCATCCTGGCTCTGCCTCTGAGTGCTGGGATTATAGGCATGCACTGCCATGCCTGGTTTTTGCCATATGTTTTATGTGTATCTTTACTAGTTGTAACACTCCCTCAAAGTAGGTAGTTAAAAATTCCCTTTTAGAGATGAAAAAATAACTTTTGAAAGTTTGTGTACATGTTATGGCACACTAGTGTTCAAATTCATGTCTTCCTGGTTCCAAAGTTTTACCTTTTTTTTTCCCTTCATTACACCTAGTTGATAGCTGGTTCAAAAGATGAACAGATGGAGAGCTGAATAATTAGTAATTTATACTAATGATTTATCTAAGCTATGGACCATTTTATTTTATCAAGTCTTCTCATTTAATGGATTAAAAAATATAAACTAAATAGTATTTATCAGAATGAGGCTTTTAATGTATAACTGGGTGCTCTGAGCTGGGGATTTAGCTCAGCGGCATAAGTGCCTGCTTTGCAAGCGCATGGTCGTGAGTTTGATCCCCGGTACTGAAAAAAAAATTAAAAAAATATAACTGGGTGCTTTAACATTTCCTTTAGTAATTGTTTATCTAATAGTTGAGTTAAATGTTGTTCAAGGACATGAAACAGTGGGATACTGTACAAAATAGAAATTCATCATGTTTATGTTGTATAAATTTAAAATATAGATTCATCTAAAGTTGTTCTGCTTTAGTTCACTTTTTTTTTTAGTTCACTTTTTAGTTCATGTGCTGCAAGAGCAAATATATCCTATCACTCACCATCTCTGTACATTATCTTGCTGAGTATATCCATGCTTCTGCTTCATTTGAATTTATCGACTTCATGATGGTGGTTATATTTTTGAGGTACCACAAAAATAAGCATAAATATAACAGGCAGCATTTAAGACTGGCCTAGGATGCCAAAGATTAGTATAAAGGGAAACTATAGTGGAATTGACTTGCTTTGGCAAACTTTGAATATATTTATGAATTGGAAATAAATGGAGCAGTTCCATACACATTAATTTTTGGTCAATCAGTTTTTCATTTTAGAATGATACCTAGAGATGAGAAACTACAGGATCAGCTATTCCTGTGATTACTTTTAGTGTCTCTAGGTGCCTGTGAAAGAAGGGACATTCAGTGCTGTTTTGGTCTTAGTTTTAATTTGTAAAAACAAATATGTGAGACATTTTAAAAGATTACCATTTAAGAGTTAGGCAGTTAATACTGAAAACACCTGCCAATCTTAATTTCTTATGGGGAAGATAAATCCATTACAAAGTGAAAGAAAATTGAAATGTTAGGAACAGGAACCATGTTTGGCTTTCTGACTACATGTTTTCTAGCAAGCACTTTGGAAATATAACTACTCTACGGAG